AGACCGGGGCACGAACCCGTGTCCCCTGCATCGGCAGGCGGACTCTCAACCACTGTGCCACCAGGGAAGCCCTAAGTTGTTTATATTTTTGATGTTGAGTTGTATGAACTTTTTATGTATTATGGACATTAACCCTTTATCGATCATATCATTTACAAATAATTTCTCTCATTCCTTTAGGTTGTCTTTTCATTTTGTCAATGGTTTCCTTTGCTCTGCAAAAGCTTTTAAGTTTATTTAGGTTCCATTTGTTTACTTTTGCTTTTGTTTCCTTTGCCTTAGGAGACAGATCCAAAAAATATATTGCTATGTTTATGTCAGTGTTCTGCCTGTGTTCTCTTCTAAGAGCTTTATGGTTTGTGATCTTACATTTAGGTCTTCAATCCATTTTGAGTTTATTTTTGTATATGGTGTTAGGAAATGTACTAATTTCATTCTTTTACGTGTAGCTGTCCAGTTTTCCCTGCACCAGTTATCGAAGAGACTGTCTTTTCTCCACTGTATATTGTCTCCTTTGTTATAGGTTAATTGACTGTAAGTGCATGGGTTTATTTCTGGGCTCTCTATTCTGCTCCATTGATCTAGGTGTCTGTTTCTGTGCCAGTACCATACTGTTTTGATTACTACATCACTGTATAGTCTTAAGTCTATACAATTCTTCCAATTCTGTTCTTTCTCAAGATCGTTTGGGCTATTCAGGGTCTCTTGTGTTTCTATACAAATTTTAAAATTATTTGTTCTAGATCTGTGAAACATACAGTTGGTATTTTGATAGGGATAGCGTTGAATATGTAGATTGCCTTGGGTAATATGGTCATTATAACAATATTAATGCTTTAAATCCATGAATATGATGTATCTTTCCATACGTTTGTGTCATCTCCAGTTTTTTTCATCAGTGTCTTATAGTTTTCTGACTACAGGTCTTTAGCTTCCTTAGGTAGGTTTATTACTAGGTATTTTATTCTTTCCTGATGCAATTGTACATGGAATTGTTTCCTTAATTTCTCTTCCTGAGTGTGTATAGAAATTCAACAGATTTCTGTATATTAATTTTGTATTACAAATTTACTGAATTCATTGATGAGTGCTAGTAGTTTTCTGGTGGTGTCCTTAGGATTTTCTGTGTATAGTATCATGTCATCTGCAAACAATGATAATGTAACTCCTTCCTTTCCAATTTGGATTCCTTTTTTTTCTTGTGTGAGTGCCGTGGCTAGGACTTCCAATACTGTGTTGAATAAAAGTGGCAAGAGTGGGCATCCTTGTCTTGTTCCTGATCTTAGAGAAAATGCTTTCAACATTTTACCACTGAATATAATGTTAGCTGTGGGCTTATCATATATGGCCTTTATTATGTTGAGGTATGTTCCCTCTATACCCACTTCTGGAGAGTTTTTATCATAAATGGATGTTGAATTGTATCAAGTGCTTTTTCTGCATCTATTGAGATGATCATATGGTTTTTATTCTTTAGCTTAATGTGGTGCATAACATTGATTAATTTGTGGATATCGAAAAATTCTCGCATCCCTGGGTTAAATCCCACTTGATCATGGTATGATCCTTTTTTTGTGTGTGTGTGTGTGCGGTACGCGGGCCTCTCACTGCTGCGGCCCCTCCCGCCGTGGAGCACAGGCTCTGGACGCGCAGGCCCAGCGGCTCCGCGGCATGTGGGATCCTCGTGGACCGGGGCACGAACCCGTGTCCCGTGCATACCAGGGAAGCCCGGTATGATCCTTTTAATGTAGTTGCGTTTGGTTTGCTAATATTTTGTTTAGGATTTTTGCATGTATGTTAATCAGTGATATTGGCATGTAATTTTTTTTGTGGTATCTTTGTCTGGTTTATGGTATCAAGGTGATGCTGGACTCACAGAATGAGTTCAAAAGTGTTCCTTCCTCTGCAGTTGTTTTGGAATAGTGTGAGGAGGATGGGTGTTAAGTGTTTTTCAATGTGGAAGAATTCACCTGTGAGGCCATTTGGTCCTGGACTTCTGTTTGGGAGGCTTTTTAAAAGTTACTGATTCAGTTTCATTACTGGTAATTGGTCTGTTCATATTTTCTATTTCTTCCTGGTTCAGTCTTGGGAGGTTGTACATTTCTAGGAATTTGTCGATTTCCACAAGGTTGTCCATTTTATTGGGATATAACTATACAGTATAGTATATACTATAGTTTGTAGTAGTCTCTTATCCTTTGTATTGAAGGGCAGCAGGGCTGCCCTTTACGGTGTAGGTTTACGGTTTCTGTTGTAACTTCTCCTTTTTCATATCTGATCTTCTTGATTTGGGCCTTGTCCTTTTTTTCTTAATGAGTCTGCCTAAAGGTTTATGAATTTTCTTTTCAAAGAACTAGCTCTTAGTTTCACTGATCTTTTCTATTGTTTTTTTCTGTACTTCATTTATTTTTGCTCTGATCTTTACGATTTCTTTCCTTCTGCTAACTTTGGGTCTTCTTTGTTCTTTTTCTAGTTCCTTTAGGTGTAAGGTTCGGCTGTTTGAGATTTCTCGTTTCCTGATGTAAGGTTGTATTACTGTGAACTTCCCTCTTAGAGCTGTGACCCATAGATTTTTGGATCATTGTTATTTTCATTTGCTAGTGGGCAGAACCGGGGCCCAGCTGGTCCCAGGACAGGTGCTGGTCTGCCGGTTGAGGGGCTTTGGATGTCCTGTGGCTGGGTCTGCCTGCTGGTGGGTGGTCCTGAGGCTTGCTGGTGTGCGGGGCTTGGGATTCTGGGGCTGGTACCCACTGATGGGTAGAGATGGGCCGAGATGGGCCTTGGGGTCTCTGGCCGCAGGGCCCTGGGTGTCCGTGGTGTAGTGCATATGTGCTGGTGTGTGGGGCTGGGTCCTGGGCCCTCTGGAGGGGCAGGACCATGTCCAGGGATGGCTGTGGGCTCAGGGGGGTCTTAAGGCAGCTTGTGTGTGCACCCAGTTAGTCGCGTGGCCTGACACACCTCAGTCCTGGTGCCTACAGGCTGGTGGGGGGGGGGGGGGGGGGCTGGGTCCTGAGGCCAGTAAGCTGGAGGGAGATCCAAAGTGTCGCTTGCCGTCACCAGGGTCCTCGTGAGGTTTCGTGTGGTCCGCTAAAAGAGTGAAGTCTATTTCCCCCCCGCCCTCTGGGACTCCTGAGAGCCCTGCTGACCTTCAAAGCCAAATGTCCTGGGGGCTTGTGTTCCTGCCACAGACTCGCAGAGTGAGGAGTCTGATGTGGGGCTCAGACCCTGTATCCTCTGGGAGAATCTCTGCAATTGTAGTGATTCTCACGTCTGTGGGTTGCCCACCTGGGTGATGGGACTCGGCTACGTTGCGACTCTGCCCTTCCTACCCATGTCGCTCGTTCTTTGTATCTTTAGTTGTAGAAGATACTTTCTGGTAGATTCCGGGCTTTTTCATTGACGGTGGTTCTGCAAATAGTTTTGATTTTAGGCCTGCCTGTGAGAGGTGAGCTCAGGGTCTCTCTACTCCACTGCCCTGGCTGACCTCCTTGAAGATGTTTACTTCTGTGTGTTAGCATAGAGATCGCTTGTTGGACTGGTCCAGCTCCTGCAGATGCAGAAGAGTTTGTAGACCATCAAAATTCTAGGGTGGTAGGTCCAGCCTCTGCTTGAAAAAGCCCTAAATCCCGAGCTGCCAGGCAGCCTCAATCAACACCCCCCGCCCCCGCCTCCACCCACCACTTCCATGCACAGGACTGTGGGCTCACAGGGTGCAGAATGGACTGGATTCTCCAGGCCACCCTCTGCCCATCCGCACTCCAGGCGTAGAAAAGCCAAGCTACTTGTCCTGGGCCAAATACCCTAGATGTTTGAGTCTCAGCCCTGAGGTGCTGATTTAAATGGTTTTGTGGGCATCCAGAGTTTTCCAGGCTCTCCAGATGATTCTAATATGCAACAAAGTCCGGCAACCATCGCTTTGTACTCCCCATGGCCAGTTTCTATCTCAGTTTGGTTTTGGTGAGTCAGGGTGCTGGGGGAGGAGCGGTGGCATCTGGGGAGCATTAGCTGCTCCTGGGCCCAGACACTCACAGGCTCTGTGATGATGAGCAGGCCCTTGGCCCCTCTGAGCCTGTTTCCTCACGTATAAAGCTGAACAAGTGGGCTTCCCTGGTGGTGCAGTGGTTGAGAGTCCGCCTGCCAATGCAGGGGACATGGGTTCGAGCCCTGGTCCGGGAAGATCCCACAGGCTGCGGAGCAACTTAAGCCCGTGTGCCACAACTACTGAGCCCATGTGCTTAGAGCCCACGCTCTGCAACAAGGGAAGCCACCGCAATGAGAGGCCCACGTGCTGCAATGAAGACCCAATGCAGCCCAAAATAAATAAGATAAATTAAAAAAAACTAAACAGGTACATGCAATGTCGCAGAGTCACGATGTCACTCAAGTTCTGAGCTTTGCTCCAGGACCTAAAGGCACTTGGAGGACTGTTTAATCTGCCTGGAGTCTCTCCCTTACCGTGGAGGGCAGGGCCCCCCTGGAACGTTCTGGAGGTCACCAGAGCATCTAGGACAGTAAGGGCAGGGCTGGGGAAAGCCGGTTACGGAAGGGACAGAAAGGTCAGTGACACAGAGGCCACCAGAGGGGCTGAAGCAGATGAGGGCAGTGACAGACCCAGCAGGCAAGCGCCCTATGCCACGCATTGTCCCTCTCGTGATGTGTCACTACTTGGTAGAGCCAGTTCTCTAACACAGTTTCTGTCTTTTGCATCCATTTGTTCGTATTAGTATAAGCCAAGTGAAGGACGAGGAGGCTGGAGCCCCTGGCCCTGGCCCTCTGGGCTCCGGCCGGGCCCAGAGGCTTTCCCCTTCTTCTGCTCTCTGGCCAAGAGGGGCAGTGGGGTGGTCCTAGTCGGCTGCCTTCCACCTGCTTCTGGTTACATTGTGGGCGTGGGTTTCCCTTAAACTGTCACATGTGATATGCCCGTGTGTGTATTTCACACAAAATGTAAACGTCTCATGAGGAACTTCAGAAGTGAAGAATTATCAGAGAAACATTTCGAATGTGTTAAGAAATATTAGTTTTATTTAACCAGTTTTCACAGCTGAATATTTATTCTATAAAAACTTTACAGATTGTACAGTTTATATATAGTTCAAACTACTGAACGAAAAAAGTAGGTCCCACAGATGCAAAAATACTGCACCAGCCAATCCATGGTAAAGGCAGATTTACACGCTGTACAGCTCTCCACGAGGCCGGGAGGTGGTCGGTTCTAAGTATAAACTTCAAAACTGTACAAAAATAAGGTTTTGATTTTATTTCATTCTTCATACATTCAATATGATTGCAAGCTCAGAAGCCTACCGAGTGATAGGCGTCTGGAATCAGGAATCAGTCCTCACTCCTGGCGGGAATGCGGACGTCTATTTACACAGGGCACTCTTGGACAGCATCCTGTACTTGGTATATTGTGTAGACATGAAAGCAGAGACCAAGAACATTAAACGTCGATATAAGGTAGTTCTTTCTCTTAAAAAGGAGTTTCTGCATTTAATAGTGTGCCAAAAGAATTTTAACTTATTAAATAAAATATATTCTAAGTGAACCTAAAAATTACACTTTATAAACATAAAAATACTTTATTTTTGGTGTAATACATCAATCATATCTGCAAATAGAAAACCAAAACTGTATATAAAGGAGTTCTCACCCAGTAACAAGAAGCGCTTACACAGTTATTTTTTCAAATGGGTCAGAAAAATTAATTATAAACCCCTATAACTTAGATCATACTTAGCTATTCAGTGATTCGCTAACACTGCAACATAAGCTTTCCCCTAGAGAGAGAGTGGTTTCTTTGTTAACTGGGTAAGAATCGGACATATTTAAGAAAGAGAGCAGAATTAACTGATTTCTCAGCGTGAATCCTAGGCGTGTTTTAGTCTGGGGGTATTATTCAGCAGTGGGTGTTTAATCAGAAATACTTATTCTTTTAGGATAAGTCTTCCTTTTGATTGAGAATTTTCCATCTCTGAGGTTTTGTACCTTCCTGGAGACAAGGGCATGCCTCAGATCTTTCCGTATTTCTATTTGGGGTGGGGTGAGGTGGGGGTGAGGCGGGCTAACACCTCTTCAGATTCTGTTTTCTAGAAGGAAAAAAACAAGGAAAACAAACAATATTCCAGACTTTTCTGACACCCAAACCAGGAAAACACACTTCTTTTTTATACAGTACTAGCCAAAGATAACAAAAAGTAGAGCCTCAAAGAGCAGCCCAGAGCTCACAATTTATACTTTTATACTTGTGTGTGTATTAAGTATAAAATAATGACGTTTGGACAAAGGAGCTTTGTAGTTATTTATTTTAAAGTTACAGTACTTAAAAACTCCTTGGTAATAAATAGCTTGGCTGTTTCAAGTCCTGCTCCCAAGCGTGAGCTCCACGTGAACCTGTTTCAGGCTGTGAGGGTGGGTCCGTGCCCCGGGGAGCCCCAGCCGGCCTGCGCGATGCGACTCCAGGGTCGTCTGGGGCAGCCCGGCCGTCAGAACTCGTCGATCTTCCTCTGCAGGTACTTGAGCATGGAGTCCATGCCCTGGGCCGAGCCCCAGATCTTCTTCAGCACCTCGCACTCCCGCTCGTTGGCCTGCTCCAGCTCCAGCTTCATGTTGCAGCGCACCAGGGCCTTGGATTCCTCGAGCACCTGTGCCAGACAATGAGCTGTGATTAGCGGGGACTGTAGCTGCAAGCGCTGGCTTCTCGCTGCCTTCAAGCTTACGGAGGCAGTTAGCAAACCCGACGAGCCACCTGGTAAGAAGGTGACCAAACATCTCACGATACGTGTCAGGCCGGATATAGGTATAATGTGTATCTCATTCACTGTGGATACTGGACAAATTGTTCACTTCAAAGGGCTGTTAAGCTAATTCACAACAGAGCTGTGCTGCTTTCCACGCCCTGGTCCTGCCCCAGCAGTGTGACCAGGCTTGGGCCTGAGCTACGGCTGTGGGGCCCCTGCCCCCAGCGTGGACCCTGTCCACGCCTGTGATACTCATTGAGAATGCCTGCCCCGGGAGTTTTCTAACCGGAATTTAATTTCGGTAACGAGTTGTGGGAGGCCTGGGACAGCCTAGATGGGAGTTGTGTCAGTTAGTGTGAAATAACATTTCACCCAATGCAATTCTGTTAGAAGACTGTTACCCAGCACACTTATTAAACAAAAACCAAAGTCCACTGAGGGAGAAATAAGTGCGGTTGTGCGAAAGGGCTTTGCAAACAGTAAAGAACTTTAGAAATGTTGCTTTTTGCAGACTTGCACGGGACACTGAGGTGACTGACTCTCAGCTTGAACTGCACTCCTCGGCTCCCGGGTATCTGCAGAGGGAGGGCAAGGTCAGCAGAGGCCCGAGCCCAGCCTCCGGTGTCGCACGTGGAGGCAGCCGTGGGTGCCCCCTGTGCGCGCCCTGCAGGGAAAGGTCGCGGTGAGAGCACTGACACGCGGAAGAGAAGGAACTGGACGTACGACCGGGTTACAGGAGGCGAGCTCCTTAATGCGGACCATGACTTCCTGGGTGAAGGTCCCGGGCCAGAACACCTGGGAGACCAGGCCTTTGCCACACGCCTCCTGCGCCGTCAGCTTCCGTCCGCTGAGCAGCATTTCGTTCGCCTGGAAGGAAGAAAGAGCAGAGGGCGCGTGAGACGCGGGAGGACGCGGCAGGGGGAGGACACAGCCCGAAAACTCAGCCCTGAAAGTTCAGACTGTGCGCGAGTAACACACAGGAGATGCCATCAACGGGGGACGCAACTACCGGCCGGAGAGTTTTCAAGATGTAAAAGGCTTATTTTGTGACGTAGAACAGAACCAAGGACTCTAAATTAAAGAAGGTCTCTCTGCTATAGATCTGAAGTTACTGGCATGTCCCTCCCCGCCTGCCACCGCCCAGTGCCAGCCATTCCCACGTGTGGACTCATTCAGCACACGAACCGGTTTCCCAGGCAACAGGCGTAAGCAAGGCTAATGGCAATTGGTGGTTTTAGGGATTTGCACCAGGCACAGAACTGCTACCCAACGTTTTCTATGTCAGAGGCCAACGGTCAGAGCAAGGTTCTAAGGGCAGGGATGTTTCTGCTGCAGGGTAACTCGGCAGCCACGGTTAACATCCACATGGTAAAAATAAACTCTGCGGGACCTGGATGACCACTTAGTCTGCTTAAGAGGGTCTGACCACAGTTACTTCATGGAAGAAGTTCACATCTGCAGATGTTAAAATCAATTTCATACACACTTTTTTTTTAAAACTTGGTCCTGGACTTAGGTCACTTTTCAGGTCTCAACACAAGTACGGGTTTTCTCTCATTCGAACGACAGCTCAGATGCTGCAATAAGGAGAAAGGAGAGAATCTATCTGACAAAGAAACCTCACCCTATTCTGCTGTGACAATTTCCTCTCCGTAGTTTATCCTGAAGACTCCTGAAGACTTGACCACGAGCTTCTAGGCTCTGGTAAAACATACTTTTTCCCAAAAGAGGTAAAACCCTTGTTCTGAAAGGCCCTGCTCGTACTGAGACGTCTCAGCTGACAGACCTGTGCACCTCCTGGAAACCACCAGGCGGCTGGAAAGCAGATGCTTGCGGGTCTACTGGCCTTTCAACGTAGGGCGGGGAGCCAGGTCCCGTCTCCTAGCTCGTGTTTCTGTGCACTCCACTGCATCGTGCAAGACAAGACCACAAGCCAGTCACTGAGCATGGAGCACGTTCTCAAGACCGACATGAACGCCAGGGCCTGAGCTCGGATGGTGGATGCAGACACTGCCGGCCCTGGGCGGCCCTGGGCTGTCTGGACTGGGAGTGACGGGGCAGGCGTCCTCAGCCCCTCGCTGTCACTTCCTTGAACATCGTTTTCTGCCACGTGGAGGTCACTTACTGCTCCCCCTGCTCCCCCTACCCCGTCTCTCCTTCCCTCTTCTGGACGCTGAGGCCTGGGGGCAGTGACGGCCAGTCGTGAGCTGTCCTTGCTGCCTAGCTTCCTTCACGAGAACCGGCTCGCCCCTACCTGCTGTTACGGGACAGCCGTCCCCTACTCGGCCTTCCTACTCCAGGTAGGGGGATGCATAGGGCAACGCGGGGCAGGTCTGCGAAGACCCCAGAAAGCGCAGTGCCTGGCTGTACACGGCTCCCCCAGGCAGGCCTGGTATGGAGGGGGGCGGCAGGGGGCGTCCACCACGTGAACCGAGTGGCTGGTGCAGCCACTGTCCCTCTGCAGCTCCAGCCGGACACCAGGGCCAAGCTGGCAGGTCCTGAGGAGCCCAGCCGCCGGCCACGCCGCTCCTCACTCCAGCCTGCGACTGTGCCCCGCCTGCAGGGCCCTGGGGTCCCTGGCCCAGAGACCCTCCCCATGCTGGCCTGGGGAGCAGCAGGTGGACGCGCACCCTGGGAGGACGGGCGCCAGCCTCCGCATCCCCGCGGGCTGGGAAACAAAGGGGCGGAGGCCAGTACAGCCATGGCAACTTTCCCTCCCGCTGATCCCAAGGAGTGCCGTCTCTCCTCCTCACAGCTCCAGGCGCGGCGGTCCCAGAGGGGCCACAGCTGCCAGCAAGGGTCAGCAAGGGTCCCACTGGCCTTCAAGCCACGACTGCTGCCTGGGCAGGGTCCCCTAGAGCCATGTGGTCCTCCTGCCTGACTGCAGCCATCCACAGACCAGGGCAGCGGCTCGGGCCTGGGCGCGCACAGGGCCCAGCGTCCCCAGCAGGATGGCCACTGAGGGCAGCTGGCGGGGGGGCTACAGCAGGAAGGGAGACGAGGGGGAGCGGCCCTGAGACCAGATGTGGCCACGGGCGCTGTGGCTTGTCCCACGTCACTCCTCTTTTACGTTTCTTTAAACCCTTTAAACGTTCTGTTTGGGAGTGAGTAGACTTACGGAGAGATAAAAGCAGCACAGAGCTCCTGGGCGCCGTCCCCGAGCTGGCCCTCACGGTAACACCTTACGGAACACCTCGCGATGACCAAAACCAGAACATTACCATCAACGTGATGCTCTTACGACTGAGCCGCGAACTGTCTGCCAATCGTGCCAGGTTTCCCAGCGACGTCCTTTCCCTGACCCAGGCCCCCTGCCCTGAGCTGTCAGGCCCCCTCCAGGCCGCGATGGTTCCTCAGCCTTTCGGTGAGTCGTCCGACCGGGCGCCCTAGAGGGCGCTGTGCGGTGTTTGCGGGCGGTGCCTGCTGCCAGGGCTGCTCCAGTGTTACCCGGGTGCCCAGGACGCCTACTTCTCTCAACTGCACTTACTCTTTTTCCACCATCAATAACGAGTGCATGCAAACATCCTTTTCCTCATGAGCTGGGGGCCCCCGCCTGAGGCAGCACCCCTGTCTCCTCGTCCTCTGCGTCTCCCCCAGGAACGGGGGGGGAGTCCTGCACCCAGGTGTGCGGCCCTGCACATGGGCAGGAGGAGGTGGCGCCCACGGGACAAGGGCGAGGGCTGGACACGGCTGTGCTGCCCAGATCTGGCTGCCCGGCCGCTGGAGACGGTCAGCACAGATGCCAGGAGCCCTGGGGACCCTCTCCCGCGGGGTGACACCACAGCCCAAGCTGAGACAACGGACACGGCAGCCAGCCACTCCAGCCCACGGCAGGATGCGTGTCCCAGGCCACAGGTGCCCCAGGGCTCCCCGCGGGGGCGGGGGTGAAGCTCCACAGGGCCTGCCGTACAGCTCGGCTCCTGCCGCCGTGTGCCGGCCTCCCCTTCAGCGTCTGTGCCTGCAGCCCCAGGCCAGGACCCCAGCCCATACCCGATTATGGGTCAAGGAGTGAGGAACGTCAACGTGAACTTTCTACAACCCACAAGCTGCAACGCAAACAGACTCTTGTGATGGGCGGATTTAACAGGTAAGACGAAAGCCCCCCAATCCTGGGGGGAAAGGCCCAGCTTTGCTCCTTCATGCTTTCCCCTAAAAGGGCAGCTTTCAGGTTATGAGGGCAAGAACCCGTTGACTGCAAACTCCGGTTCGTTTGGGTCACACTGGGTGTTTACTACTCGTGGGTACCGGTGTTAATCACGCAGAGACAGAGATTCCTCATGGCAGGAGGGCCTCTTCCCTAAACAGTCTATGAACCAAACCGTGAAAACCTTCCACGAGCTCCTGAACTAAGAGTGTGATTTCATGATTTAAGAACAAGAACTGAATTACAAGCGCATTTGATGCGAAGTCTCCCCAGAATGACACCTTGTCTGTATTTAGAGAAACACTAAGCAAACTAGACTTCTGCAGGAAGTTTTCTAAGATGATTTTTTAAAAAGAGGTACTCACAGATGCTCCTCCCATAATCCTGGGAAACATCACAGTGGAACAGCCATCTGGACTCTGTCCGAAGGTAGTGTAGGGTGTTTGGAACCAAGCCTTCTCATTGGCCCAAACCACGTCACAGAGAGGCAGGATGGACGCTCCTAGCCCAATGGCTGGGCCGTTTACGGCTACAATAATGGGCTTCTTAAACTGAATGAAAGTATTCACGAAGTTTCTAAAATGGAAAATAAATGGGGGAGTTACTCAAAACACTGCATGTTTGAGCAACAGAAAAATCTACTTCTACGGAATTCAATACACCAAGATGTGAACTCCGGGGGCATCACCGTGACTTGGAATTCGCTGACGGCCTTCTCCCCACTGCCAGGGGCCCTGGCTTTATGTACCATGTGCTGCAAAGGCTTAGTGGTGCCTTGGACACCAGGCCAGGGTGGCTGTCGCCACAGGACCTGTGTGAATTCTGCGGGAACAACACAGCGGAAGGTGCTCTCGGCTTGGGCTCCAGGGCCAACCTGTCTTCCCCTGACGGCAGGAGCAGCCCAGGAACCACGATGGGCTTCGGAGGACCAGTCCAGCAGCTCTCCCGGAGGAGGCCTGGCGTCACTGCGGTAGCCTGTGCTGGGCAGGGACATGGGGCCTGGGGTCAGGAACCCCAGGGTTCCAGTCCCCAGGTCTGGACTTGGTCTGTGATTTCAGACGGCTTACTGATTAACTCGAAACACAGAAATTTCCTGAGTTTATATAGAACTAGATGGAATGAGTTACGAGACGTAGGGACAAGAAGCTCACAGGCTCGTGTGAGATGTGAGACCTGACAAGAGCATCACACTGCTGGGACCTGCTGGAGGGTCAGGCTGGGAAGGCGGGCTGCTCTGCTCTTCGGTTCAGGGCCAGATGGTGCATCTCCCTCCCCTGCACTGTGAAGCTAACGATGATCAGAGGTCGCGTCGTGTGAAGACTTAACATGGTGAAGAAAAGGACAAACCCACCCAAAATGAATACAAGATAATGCCTTTAAGGCCAGCTATGTTCTGGATCAGAAGTCCAGAACTCCAAATTCTCAACCTGACGCCCCCCAGCTTTGGAGCCAAAAAATACCAGTCTGGGTCCTGCTCCCTACAATTCAGCAATTTAAAAATAAGGTAAATCTGTGCAGATCGTCTCTATCATCTAGTCTCCTCTCCTCCCCAAATACTGACAGGAAGGGTCGTGTCTTCTTTGGATGGTGGGGGGGGGGGGGGGGTTTGGGGGGGGGGGGGGTGTGTAGGGTGTGTGGGTGCGTGTGGGGGGGAGGGGACCCTAGAGTTTGGCAGCCTGCAAGCCTCACTCTGGGAACTCTTCTCAAAAGCCCCTGCAGTCAGCACAGACCTCAGCCTGCCCCAGGGTCCCCAAAGGTTGGGGGGATTGAGAATTAGGTCACTCGAATGAGCTGCAGAGACTTTTAAATGAGAGCCTGGGGCACTGTTAGGAAGATCACACTGGGTTTTAAGGATGCAAAGAGCCAGACAACCTTTACAATAGGTCCTTGAAATAATCCTAGACCAGTACGTGAAGCTACTTCAGTTCCGCCACTGTTTGAGGATTCTGGGTCAACGAGTTGTGACAGAAATGCATTTTCTATGCTCAGTTACCAGCGACCCTTGAGAAGGTAACTGCTGTCTCCCTGGTTTAAAGCAGACGTTTTCCCTGAGTAGCCCCACATTCATCTGCTCATGTGAACAGGGGCAAAGTGGAAGCTCTTTCAGTGCTGACATCTGGAAACCATGGATGGGATGGTAGCTTAACATGAAAGAGGTGATCAAAACAGTGTAATAAAGGGATTCTATAGAGAAACGGTACAAGGAATGAATCCTTCTCATATGTCAGTATAAAAGAAAAAAAATCTGCTTCTAAAATACATATTGCAAAATCAGGCTGGAGAAATTGGAACTGAATTTTCTCCCCCCTAAGAAGATGATTTTTATTTTTGCTTAGATTGATCATCTAAACCCGGGGCTCTTTCTGGGAGGAGTATGAATTAACCGACTCCCTCTGGAGTGAAGGCCATCGCCCCTTCTCGGAGGACTCCACCGCGCCATCTGACGAGCTCTGAGATGCCAGAGCGAGCACGGGCCACAGAGAAACCCCTCTCGTGTGAAAATTAAAAAAAAAAAACAAAGAAAACCCCCCAAAACCCCCAAACAGAAGTTCACAGAACTGCTTTTCTGTTTTGCAGGAACTTCCCTGAGCCAAGAAGGCTTAGCCACACGGCAGCCAGAGGCGGGAGGCGCCTTCGGGCCCCGGGATGGCTCTCGGGGGCCTGGCAGCCAGGGACCGTCTGTCCACTGCTTTGCGGGGCGTATTTTAGAATGCATGAACGTTCAAATGTGCTCAATGCAACATACTGAATTTAAACTTCGCTTTCCTCTGGATTGCCTATGAAGTGAGTGAAAGGCTGTGCTGGGAACAGCAGGGAAGGAAAGAGATCATATTTGCCCCAAAAAGACTCTTAAAACCGAAATTCTCTCCATTCTTTTGAAGTACATTTACTACCCCACAGACCTCACCAAGTTAGAAAATCGCCTGAGAACAACAGTCCAGGAATTGTTTTGGGGAAACCAAGAACTGACCTGTTAAGGGCCAGTTCACTGCCATTTCTCAACTGATCTCCCCCTTCACGAGAGTGCCTGGAACGGGAGTGAATGCGGAAGAGGTCAACGTTTCCTCTCTGGCTTTGCTCCCTCCCCAAATCTCTGCTCCTCTCGCCTCCTTTTGGGGAGAGGAGGCTCTGGTCCTTCAGACACAAAGCAGCAGCTACTGGTCCCCACAGACTGCAAAAGCCTAATGTTATAAATTGATCCCTAATAACTGTTTTTATCACTAATGTGCTGAGTATTTTTATTACAATTAATCTGCAAACTGGTTACTGCCATCCCAGCAACGGAATTAGCCCCTACAGCTACCTAAGAAGCTGACCTTCCCATTTCCCACCTTTCTTTCGGAAACTCACTGCGATTGATGTTCTTTGCCCAAAGTTTTAAGGAACATTGAGACGAGACACCACAGAAACAAAAGATACACGTAGTAATAGCTTTATGTGTATAAGCCAACCTTACACACATAAACATGAATTTCAATGCAAATGAGCAGAAGTAAAGGTTAAGTCAATCTGGTGGAACTATTTTTGGATCCTGCCTGCGTGCATTCAGAAAAATTCACATTGACAAAAACATATCATTGAAAGAACTGATTTCCTAAAGCAAGATTCGGCTTTCCCCTAGGATACCAATCCGGCCTTTTGTGGGGAGTGAGGAGAGTCTGGAGTTTCTGAAATGGAGCGGGTGGCTGAAGAAAATTAGCATTTAAAACTACCCAGAAGTTCAACACATGAGATCGCGCTTGATCTATCCTTCCTCTACTTTGTCTAATCCCAACAATACGAGCCTTTGCCCCCGTCAAGGGCAACCCCACCCTGGAGAAGCGGCCCAGAACGTTCATTGGTGGAACTCAGGGAACCGTCTACGGGGGGAGTGAGCCAGCACGGAGGCGACAAACCCTGGCTTCTCACTCAGCAGAGCCCCCAGGTCACACGGTCAGGTGGAAAGTCAGTGTGAGCTTATGGAGAATACACAAAATCACCACCTGAGGCATAAGCATCTGTATTTTAAAAATGAACATTAAGTTCCTATAATTCATCCTGAAAGAGTGGGATGGGTCAATAATAGGAATATCTACAAGTTATCCTAAAGTTACGACTTGTCAAGAAATTACGTGCACTGATCAAGCAGTTTACTTTGACTAACAAGATGGTCCCGTCTAGTACGCTGCAGGTTTGAAATTATTTAGGAAGCCAGAAGCAATGCTTAATAAAATCAGATAAAATTTCAAACTAGTTTTGGAGAAACAACTACCCTATGATAGCCTAAAAAATAGTAATGTTCGAAAAGATTAACGAACAGATAATGCCTTGTATACATGCACACGTGTATGTAGTGTGAGAAAACATTAATTTTGAGAATTATTAAAAATATTCTGAAAGGCCAAGGCAATGCCCTATAGTCCCAAGGTGTGGGGTTCCAGGGCTCCTCTGACGGGCTGTTTGGGGCTGCGCCCATCGAAACCATCTGGGGAGATCTTTTGGAGAGAGATGCCCCGCCTACTCCAGGCCAAGACAGGAAAAAGGCTTCCACCATCCTGCTGTGTAGCTGGAACTCAGGATGAACTTGTGTGTACTGTTACGGAACTAGTGTGTCATAAAGCAGCCAATTTAGTTTAGAGTCAAGCAAACGGTAAGTTACCACACGAAAAAGACAGTGTCTATTCCAGGGCTGGCGGCAGAGCACACGGAGCGTGGACGGCCGAAGCCCCCGCCACGTGCTACCCTGCGCTCTGCCCCTGGAGCGCCCCCCATCGAGCGTGTGCTGGGCTCCAGCCAACCTTGACATGCGTCATCTGCTCAAGGCAAGTGGCCCACAGCAGAGACAGAAGATCCGATCAACTCTGCTACCAGCGAGTCTCAGGGGAGGAGACGCACGCCCTGCTCGCAGGCCTGTCCAGACCTGCCCCACGGGGCCTGGGTCACGCCGGCGTTCACGGCGGACCAGGTGTGCGTACCTGATGGCCTCAGCCATCTTCGTGCTCTCTCTCTTCCGGTCGTCCGTCAGGCGCCGGATGAAGTAGATGAAGTCAAGGCCGCAGCAGAAGACGCTGCCCACGGCGCTGAAGAGCACCAGCTTGCTGTCGTCGGCGGCGGCCGTGCTCAGGGCGCTCTGCACTTCCTTCATCACCTGAAAGGCACCGGGAGTCACGGGCGCGAAGGGAACGCTAAGAGCATCTCATTACTGGACCATCTCGACCCACGCAAAGTGCATTTACAGACTGATACTGTTGCCTGTACCTACCAAGTAACTCGCAAGTTTCTTATTTTCTGAAACCAGGGATTGGGAATAATGGGGACAGAGTCTCATCACATAACAAATTACGAACGGAGGATAACTAGAGAGATGTGTGAATCTGAGTTACTCAATGGTCCCGTCCTTGCGGCTCTCAGTGGGTGAGTTACGTATTATATCCCCTTGGCATTTCCACAGTGTGGACAGCAGGTGGCGCATGCAACCAGTCCAAACGAACTACTAGTCTGGTTTCATTTGACACCAGCCTCCGTCCTTGGGACAGAAACCCCAAGTTTAGTGCGTACGGGTAACGAGTACAAGCACACCAGCATGGAGGCATTTTAGAAGGGCACAAACTACTTAAAATGGTCTCTCTGAAGGACTTACAAATAACCAACGGTCTAACGATGTACCGGGGACCAGCCGCCCCGAGCTGGCCTGTCCCGTGATCCTGGCCAGACACACTAGCTTTCTGTGGTTTGGTTTTCTCGTCCAGAAAAGGCGTGACCTAGCTGTTCACAAGCAGGAAACAAACAACTACCAGCACTTACAATTTTAGGCATGATAGAGTGCAGGTTCAAACGCTTCCGATTTTAGATACTTCACAGAACTAAGTTTCGAGCCTTTGCGAGCACCAGTCTCCCTCGATCCTGGGAAGCTACCTTTACCGGGTACGATCAGTAACAAATGCATTGGCATCACTGCAGCTGTAAGTTCCACTACGTGGAGTGCTGGGACCGACTGGGAAGGATGGTGAGATATTCAGAAGGCTGGACCTGGGGCTCTTTAATCTTGTCTGAACAGAGAGCTCTGGGACCTGACGAAAGCTACAGGATGGCGTGTGCACACGCTTTACATGTGACTTCAGGGAGGCCCTCCGTCCCCGCCCCCCCGGTGGATGAAGAGCTCCTGGCCGGGAGGTGGAAGCACAGGGGCACCACCGCCACCTCCCTCTTCACAGCCAGAGACCCGAGCAGGAAGCCGGGTCCTCGCCGGACCACACTGTCCCCACGTATAACGGGGAGCAGGCCTGCCGTGCTGTGCTGGCTTCCACCGTCGGGTGAAACAGCCCGGGGTGGGGATGGGGGATGAGAAAGGGCGCAGGAGAGCAGGGACCGGGCCCCGCAGGCCCAGAGAGACAGGAGGCCCCGAGCAGCCCCAGGGACGGTGCTCACCTCTGGGTTGAGAGAGTTGTTCTCGGACGACTTCGTGGACAGCAGGATGTGGGTGAAGCCGTCCTGCTTCCGGACGACGATATCCCTGTACCTGTAGGCGCTTTCCGTCTGCCTCACGCTGAAACGCAGCCGCTTGTCGAAGGGCTGGTCTCGTCTGTCATCGATGAATTTCCTCTTCCCGGCCGTCACGCCCGTGACTGACGTCTGCAGGTTGGTCGTCCCGTTGGCCGTCAGCGCATCCATGAATGGAGAGGAACCTGCCAGGGGTCCGAAAGCACAGCAGTCGGTGAGGTCTTGCCATCAACTCGCCTTTGAATTAGGGAAAAATGCTTGCGACAGACCCAGGATCGACTGTGTTAATTTAAGAAGCTTAAAAAGTAGAACCTTTGGAGAGGATAGGCGTTTGTTTGCCTCCCAAGTCTGACGAGGAAATCGCCCTCGCACTGATCCCGCCTAATAAAACGAGAGATGGGAAGGAACGTGCTGAAAGGAAACTGCGAAATTTGAGACTTTTGAGGAACGGAACTGAACTAGAACGGGTCTCATGAAGAGGACATATTCCGGGCTTGAGAAGTTGAAAGAAAAATGGAAACTGATTCAAAGAAATATTATTAGAGCCGAGCTATCTGCCGTTTTAGCCGAAATTTCTTCTGGATGAAGAGCTGCTCACACAGGCTCACGAAGCAGCCCCGCCCCGTTTTTGCGGGTCCGCCACGCCCTCGGGCCACTCTGCCCCCTGGTCCCAGTTCTACTACATTTTCAAACAGCCTTTTCAATGGCTGGAGACGGCGCTCTCTCCTGCCACCGAAAGTTAGTCCCGCTGATTCTCCCTTCTCTGTCGGCTGTTCTGTGTCAGGCTAGCTGCTGTGTTTCGCTCAGCCTTAAAGACACGGCCTTCTGAACTTGGTGTTTCTTACTACGATAAAGTCAAGAGTTTGATACTTTCTTAGAGTTACCGGGAAATGTCAGGCTAAGGGTTCAAGTGTTAAATAATTATGCTCCTATGGGTGTGAACTGTCTAAATATCATCTAACCTGGTAATGTATAGAGCCTTTGGGTGGAGGAAGAAAGGGAAAGAAATGCAAGGAACTGGATCGGGCTTTACTAATAAAACGAGCAAGGAGAGAAGTTCCCTGAGGAGAAGAGCTGGATGAATTACGAGTCAGAACTACTTCCTGCAAAGTGAAAGAAGATGAGCTGAAGCCGCTGGAGACGACTTGTGAAGGGACGTTTAGAGAAGTCAGATCGTCTCCCTGGTTAAACAGGTTGACTTTCATTCAGTTAGTAGAACTACTTTGGAGGTTTTTAGAATTGAAAATAAATTCATTTTTGGGAAAATCTGGGAGAGGTTCTAATACATAAATGGTACAAGACTCTGAGACTATAAAAAGGTACATGGTACAAGGCCTCCCCCATCAGCCCACGACCCCCTGCCCTCCATAGCCACTGTGTCTGGTTTCCAGGTGTCTTACAGCGTGCCCTATGTGTATATCAGCAAATATGAATTTAAATGCTTCTCTCTCACCCGCCTTTAACAAACACACATGGCAGCACATTAGACACAGCGTTGTGGATTTCTGTAATGCATTTTACCAGCAATTTTTGATACTACAAATGATGCTGCAACGCATAACCTTGGCTTGTGTTGTCCCTTCCAATGTGCTGGCCAACCTGTAGGATAAGTTTCTAAAGGATCTGTAACGGAAAGAGCATTTGATAAGCTGTTACCAGTGAGACAGGGCACTGCTGAATCTTTCTGAGGAAGCCAGCAGGGATCCTTGCACTGCCCTCTCTTCTCAGGCCTGTCACAGGCCCGCCTGGGCTGTCCTTGCTGTCCCCACTTCTCCCTCTGCCCATCGTTCCTCCACCCATCTGCCCTGAGCTGGAGTCTACGCGAACGGACAACTTCTCGGGTGCAGGGAGGAACGGGCCATGGATGAGGCTAAGCCACTGAGCCTGGTGCCCAGGAGACGGGGCATCTGCAGGGGAGTGTCACAGGGAACTGTGGTTTTCTCCAGTCACTGCTGAAGTGAAGAGTGAAGAGGCTCCGGAGCCCAGAAGCGGGGCCTGTGGTAAGCGGAGTGGGTGTCCAGAAACGACAGCGGAGCTGAGAAGTAGAAGCAGTGAAGGAGAGGGGGAGCCGCGAGCCTGCCTGGGTGCGGGGAGGGTCACGCGCAGGGCCAGGGGGCTGCCCAAGGGAGGGAGCGGAGCCACGCGACGAGGCTGTGTCAACAGTGGCGTGTGCCACAGAGAGGAGGGGAATGGAGAGGTCGTGGGGCGGGGGGGTGGGGCACGAGGGGCCGCTCTTAAACCCGGGAAGTTGTCTCACTGGAGGGCAGAAGCCAGAATGGAGAATTCAATGTACGACAGACAAAAACTGTCACATGCAAAAAACATACATGTTCAAACCAGGAATCTGTTAAAATGCGGTGGTAAGGGCCCCAGAAGAGCAACTGCAGCTGAGCGGGACCGGTATTTACGGGACTGACAATGATTCCCCTGCCTAAAAAGAGGTCCCGTCAGAAATAAGCCCACGCAGAGGCAGGCAGGGAGGCCGCCCGCCCCGGGTGAAGGGGGAGGGCGATGAAGGGCCACGGGCGGCCCGGCTGGGGCTCCGGCACATTCCGGAGGAGCAGGTTCTCGGGGAGGCGCTTGCTGGTGTGTCTGGACCTTGATGTTACCAACCCTGAGTGAGTTAACAGGTGCTGTGTCAAAGCAGCAGGAATGACTCTGGTGACACGGGGAAGCCCTCTGCGTGCTGGGTGCCCGCCGCCCACCAGGGTGAAGTCGCTGGCTTCGGATCAGCCCTTCCACCCGACCTGCTCCTGCTTCGCAGGGTAAGTAAAGCCACACATTCCTCAACGCTCCAGGAGTTTCCCTGGTGGCTTCCTTCCGCAAAGGCAGAGGGTTTCTAGGCTATGGGTCCACGTAGCCTTGATACGTGAGCTCTGGAAGCAGCTCTGGAGGCAGCGCGTCCCCCGGAGCTCTCCGTGGTTCTGCAAATGTAGCCGTGGATTTCTGTTGCCTCACGCCAACCAGCACTGCTGGCTTTGGCCTTCGTGTCCCTGTTAGAGCTCTGCTGATTGCAGAGCCTGTGATCTTGCCAGTGACTCAACCCCCAAGCCCAATATGAGCCCCACCTGCAGGACCCTGTTCAGGTGGAGAAGTGCTCACGGCGGGACTGCCCTCAGACTCGCAGGCGCCAGCGCTGGGCCACGCCCCTCGTGACGTGCGTCCCCCCGTTCAGGTCTGTGCTCCCCCAGGGCCTCTGGACTCGCCGTTCCCTCTGCCTAGAACGTTCTGGCCCTAGAGCTCCAGACGGCTGCTTGTTTCTGCTCATCTGAGCGGCAGCTCCTCGGGAAGCCTCGGTCCCCACGCGTGCGGCCCTCCCGGCAGCACCCACGCGGCCCAGTCTGTCTCCCTCGCAGCGTGCCTCACCCGGCTCACCCTGTCCCACCCGACTTTTACTTACGCTCCGTGGCTGGACGTCACCAAGCTCCCCGTCTGTCTCATTCACTGCCGCACCCCCAGTGCTTGGAACACGCGGTCGCCACTGACCAAGCAGATGAGGGGCGGGGATCCCAACGCCCCTTCAGCCCAGCCCCCTGCACCCAGAGGAGGAGGCCTGCAGCCCACCCAGCCTCGTGACAATCGGGGGCAGCAGTGCCACACTTCAGAGCAGAAGCCACTGCTAAGGACTCAACTAAAAGGCAAACACTGAGATTCAGGAAAAGACGTCCTCCACGATGGAAACCATCGTGCGACACGCAGTGTGACCCAGGCTCTGAGGGAAACACAGGAGGCAAAAGCTCCAGGGAACCGGCATGAAATCCAGCTAGGAAAACCTCACTCAGCGTCTCCGAAAAACGGTTTTCTTTTAAAACATTCTAAGAGCAAAAAAGATACTCTCAGGGGCCTCCCTGGTGGCGCAGTAGTTAAGAGTCGCCTGCCAATGCAGGGGGACACGGGTTCAAGCCCTGGTCCGGGAAGATCCCACATTCTGTGGAGCAACTAAGCCCGTGCGCCACAACTACTGAGCCTGCGCTCTAGAGCCTGTGTGCTGCAACTACTGAAGCCCGTGCTCCGCAACAAGGGAAGCCACCACAATGAGAAGCCCGTGCACCGCAACGAAGAGTAGCCCCCGCTCGCCACAACTAGAGAAAGCCCGCGCGCAGCAACGAAGACCCAACGCAGCCCCCCCCCCCAAAAAAAAGATACCCTCAAACATGTACTGCTAACCTGTTAAAATTCACGGCTTCAAGGGACTTCCCTGGTGGTGCAGTGGTTAAGACTCTGTGCTCCCAATGCAGGGGGCCTGGGTTCGATCCCCGGTCAGGGAACTAGATCCCACATGCATGCCGCCACTAAGAGTTTGCATGCTGCAACTAAGGAGCCTGTGAGCCGCAACTAAGACCCAGTGCAACCAAATAAATAAACAAAATGTAAAAATTCACGGCTTCGAAAAGCACGTCTCTAACGTGAAATGTGCTCCCAACCACGATAGAGAAACGGGGTCTGGATTTCCTCATTGGCCAGTGAGACCCAGAGAACAGAACAGACCACCACATGACCATTTTAGACACCAGACAACAGGCAGGGCACAACCGTGTTGCCAGCATGAAGGGGGCAGGTGAGCCCAATGACACACTGGGCGTTCTGCCTGGAGGTGACTTCCACGCTGCGGGGAAATGCTGACCTGGGAACGAAGACTGAAGGTGAGGAGGCCCAGGAGGCTGGAAGAAGAAAAGGACCTGGGCCTCCTGGATATTCATGGCCATTACTTTCTTTAGTCTGAAGTCAGAGCGCAAGCACTACAGTGTCTACAGAATTATCCGCCCTCCTTTATGGAGTCTAACGTTTCAAAACGCTGTCATCCACACTCACTGAACCTAATCGTATTTAATGATATAAAAGCCTACCATTTTATTCAGATTATATAATCTGCAAACCGAATTCATTAACAGAAAACTCTTCAAATGAACGTGGAACTAAAGGTAGGCTTTAAACATTAGCATCCCTTGTTTCCATAACACATTCAATGACTCCTCTGTAAGTCATTACAAAAGTCTCTGCTGCAACTCCTTCAATTACACTTCCCTGTCCGTGGGGATCTCTGGATTTAAAGTTTATAGGCTCACTCTTGGCTGTCTCCATAAGAGACATTAACATATCATCGGTGCTCCTATAATGCTTTGCTCCAACACGACTGATGCATCAGGAATGATCTGAGCACCTGTGCACGCAGCACCCACTGTGA